GCAGCAGGTCCCACCCTTTAGGTGGATCGCAGCAGGTCCCACCCTTCAGGTGGATCGCAGCAGGTCCCACCCTTCGGGTGGATCGCAGCAGGTCCCACCCTTCAGGTGGATCACAGCAGGTCCCACCCTTCGGGTGGATCACATCAGGTCCCACCCTTCAGGTGGATCACATGAGGTCTGATGCAGACACAGCAGAGTTGTGTTTGGGTTGTTTTCTGAACGTATGACAACATGAAGCGTGTTGGTGAGTCCAGCGTGTGGACCACAGGTCCAAGGCTCCAGTTTGAGTCTTCTCAGATGTTGGTTCCTGTGTTTAACTTCAGAAGTTCTCCTTCCTCCACATGATGAGAACTCTTCTCTGTTTCTCTGCCCTGCTCAGCCATGGCCGCTCCGTCCAGCTACGCCGTGCGCATGGCCCGGCTGAGCTCCAGGATCTTTGGAGAATTCTTGCGTTCAACGGATTCCAAATCCATGAAGGTGGTCCAGCTGTTTGGGCAGCCCCCCCTGGCCCAAAGGAAGGAGGTGTACGACTGGTACCCACAGCACAAGACTTACTCCATCCTGACCAAGAAGCTGCGCTGCATGGGTCTGTTCAGGTACCGCCGCAGCACAGACCCCTTTCCATCCAAGAAACTTCTGGATGAAGTGGTGCTGAAGTTCTGCTTCTACTCTTTTTGTTTTTAACTACTGTTTTCTTGATTTTTCACTTTGAGCTACAGTTTGGATCAGTTTAGGTGTTGCAGCCATTTAGCTTCTTTTTAGCTTTTTAGCTACTGTTTTACAAATTTTAGCTTTTGTTCTGCAGCTTCAGTCCATTGTTTCTGGACAAAATGTGTTTTTTCTAGTTCCTCCATGTTCTTCACCCGCTTCTTCCTGTCGAGTCACAGGGGTCACTGGTGTCCATGTCCAGTAGTCAGGAGGACACCCTGGACAGGTCTCCAGTCCATCACAGGGACACGGAGACAACCATTCACCCTCTCACCAGGACAGTGTAGTTACCAATGAACATGCAGGTTTTTGCTCTGTGGGAGAGAACATGTGAACTCCACCTCTGGAGCTCCTCCGTCACCCTGCAGGAAACAGCAGGGTAGAAATGGACGGATGGACATATTTGGACAAGTCTGCATGAAGTGTGTCGAAGTTCAAGGTGGTGCTCCGTCCCCACTTCTGTTCTATACAGACCTGACCCCCTCAGATCTTTTAATACTGGTTCCAAAGTGGAGCAGTCACCTCCTCTACGTGGATGACATCAAGATGTACGCCAAAAATGAGCGTGACAGCGACGACACTGGAACGTGTCAATAATCCAGGTACATGAGTCTAACCAGGTGGAGTCAGGTCCTCTGGACTGATTCTTGTTGAAATGTTTCATCTTTTACCCAAAGGACTTCTTCAGTCTGAGGAGCTGCAACAAACTCAGTCTTATAAATAGCACCTTCTCATGGTGGATCAACCAGTTTGTTGTTGACATCCAGAACTAGTTGTTCACATGATCAAGGAGGACCATCAGCCTAATAATGGATCGTTAGTGCTCTGATGGCTGCTTGTTATTTACAGAGGGCTGCGTGATTATAACAATAAGGATTATTGTGCTGCACTTTTCTTAGACCTGTCTAAAGATTCTGACACTGTGGATCAGAACATCTTGTGTCATAAACTCTCAGAAACTGGTTTCTCAGAACACACCATTGGTTGGTTCTCTAACTATCTTTCAG